TGTCAGAAGGTTTTGCCAGAAGCTGGGATTAGGGAACAGGGGATGGATCACTCACTTCATGATTAGCTGTTCTGTTCATTCCCTCTGAAACACCTAGTATTGGCCAGTGTCAGAAGATAGGATTCTGGGCTAGATGGACCTTTGATCTGACCCCCAGTGTAGCCACGCTTATGTTCTTGTTCCTTATGTTAAGGAACACAGGAATTGCCATACTGGCTCAGATCTGTGCCTCCTACAGTCGGCGTCCTATCTCTGACAGCATGCAGAATCGACATGGCTCTTGCTGTAGAGAATTTGGGCCAATTATGCACTGTGTGAAAATCTCCCTTTACTCATTTTAACTATGTACGGTGACGTCGTGTCCTCTCTAAAGTCCGTGGTAGGTTTGCTATTGACTTCAATGGAACTCTCTACTATCCAGGCTCTTCATCCCTATCACAGGGCATTCTCTCTACTTTGCAGTTGAGGAAGTGGGAATAGACGTGTTAGTCACCAAGCAAGAGGTTTAATTCCCCATCAAGAAAACATCCCCATTCTCTCTGCCCACTGAAAGGCACAGTTTCCACACCGGCTACTTCCTCCTCTCCAGAGTACAGGAAAAATCTATTTAAAACCCTTGTGCTGGCTGTGCACAGAGCTGTTGAGCTCTATCTGGAGAGACTTCAAGCATGCAGAAAGTTAAACAGTTGACTTGATCTGCATCATTCATCAGTAAAAGGCACAAAGGCATCTAAAACACAGATTGGGACTTGGTTGAAATATTGTCAAAAGACGGAAAAGAGAGAAAAGATTAAACTTCATCGGGACAAATAAAATCATCCAGCCTGATTGATTTCTCAGGCTGAGAAACTGTCTGGATCCATAAGGAAATGCACAATGTCCCACTCACGCATGAGCCAGTCACTACAAGCTACATGAGCAGCCCTTGGTGAAGTCAGCCTTTGGGAAGAGAGAACTGTGTGCTGTGAAACCCTAACAAGCCATTAAACACAGGCCTTCCAAAATATAAAGTTACATAAGGCCACTCTCTGGTGTGCCTCTGATGTTCAAGTCCCAATAGTGCAAATGGGAAGCCTGGATGAAAGAAAGAAACACTGCAATCTGACACCTGATCTTGCTTCTTTGTGTATCCAAGTTCACTGTTCCAATCTGGCAATTAATTAGATTTATGGAATCCGTTCAATGACAAATGGTTTCTATTTGTGTCATGTGGCTCTGATTCGGAGGAAGCAAGTTTAGTAGTCTAGATCAAAACCATAGCTCTGATTTGCATAATGGCAATATGTTGTTTTGAGCATTAAGTTGTATCACGCTCTTTATCATCGGATGTTTTGCTTGCTGTGCTGACTGCACTGAGGAGAGCTTTTGGAAAGCTACATGTAATAATACATGGGCCTTTTTCCTGAATGGTTGGTTAGTTTGCAACCTACCAATGTGTAGCTGTACTTCAAATTATTATTTCAAATGTGTATTACCTTGAAGCTGAGTGTCTTCTGACATTGTTCTTCCCAGTCTCCTATCTTTGTTAGGCCCCTCTGGACTTACTTAGTCTTCCTAAGACTTGAATAACTTAAATAACTTTGTGTCACATGCCAATATTGCCATACCACTGCATAAACATATTATGTATATTGAACAATACTGTTTTTATGTCCCAGTACAGCAAAGCATGTAAGCATGTGATTAAATATTTGCTTAAGTCGTGTTGAATTCCCTTTGACCTCAATGGGACTTGAGGTGCTTAAAGTTAAACATGTGCTTAAGCACTTTGCTGCGTAGGGACAGCATCAAGGATGTGGTTAAGTGAGACTATTGCTAAACTTCTTTCCTTAAAGAAAATATGTTTTTCCTACTCTTTGTTTCCTCTTAGCTAGGGTCTAATCCTGAATGTTACTTTTTCTCACCTCGTGACAATTTATGTTTCCCAATCACCTCTTGTGTGGGTCTTTGTGCAGGACTTCTGAAAGGCTAAAAAAACTGTCAGCTGGTTCTTCGTTATTTGCTATTTTGTTACCAAGCTCAGAGAATCCTAGCAGAGCAGGAAGGCACATTTTATTTTCCAGAAGTCATGCTCATTTGTTTTTCTCATGTCAAGTGCATCAGTCTGTTTTTAATTACTGTATCAACCATTTTGCCTTTCATATCGATTCATAAACTTCAAGGCTAGAAAGGACCATCTAGTCTGACTTTGTGTACAACACAGACTGCAGAGCTAACTAATTCCTTTTGAACTAGAGCATGTCTTTAAAAAAAATTGCCAGTCATGGAGAGTCTACTATGACCCCTGGTGAATTGTTTAAAGGTTAATTACCCTCGCTGTTTAAAAAAAATATACCTTATTTCCAAACTGAATGTTTCTAGCTTCAGCTTCCAGACGATGGAGCTTGTTATACTTTTGTTTGCCAGCCCATTATCAAATATTTGTTCCCCAAGTAGGTATGCATAGGCTGACCAGTTCAGCCCTTAACCTTTTCTTTATTAAATAGATTGAGCTCTTTGTGTCTATGACTATAAGGCATGTTTTCCAATCCTTAAATCATTCTTGTGGACTTTCTCTCAGCCCTCTCCAATTTATTGACCTCCTTCTTGAATTGTGGACACAAAAACTGGACATAATATTCCCACAGATGTCTAACGTCAGTAAGTTTCATTTACAATTACTGTATAATTCCCAGGACCACCTGCCTTGAAGTGAGGTTCATGAAGTGGGGGGGGGGGGGTCTCCCATAACCTGGGTAAGTATGCTAACCAACAGGCTAAAAATTACAAGGGAGGTCTTCTTTCTCCCACTTCAGCACTTTTGTGTGGCATTAGGCAGCCTCTAAGATTGACTACTGATTAAGCCCTACATGTGACTTAGGCAGTCCAGTTAATAAATCATAAGCAGAGATAGACACCTCCCTGAAGTATGGAGTTAGGCACAGAATGCAGAGAGAGGGATGGGATTTAGCATGCACCCCTCTCATCACCACCTTCTGTTGGCCAGCTAAGGCAACCCCTAGCTTACTGTGCTGTCTACGTATCCCCAGAAGTCCTGCTGATGGGGTGAGGACAAAGGGAGCAATTGCCCCAGGCCCCTTTGAATTGCTGCCGAAGCATCGGAGTGCCATGCCAAGAGCTCTGTATGGCTCTGAGTGTTGAGGAGGGGCATACTTGGTCTAGGTGGTGATAAGGCCTGACTGTCCTCAGTCCCACAAATTCCACTCAAGGCCTCACCCCTTCCGGGGGGCACAGAGCTGCCCCTCCCCACCTTGCCCAGGGGCCCATGGTGGCTGTCAGCCCTACTGCTCTCCAGGCATTGTATAGGGAGCCGACATGCCTAACTCATGCTTTGTGGATCATACTGTTGTTCCAGTGACATTCCAGACATGAAAAGATTAAGTATCATTAATTGGGGCTTTAGGATCAGGCCTTAATTTATCAGCTTGTTCTAGCACTTCTTTTGGCATATCCTTCTTTGACAATGCCTCATCCTTATTATCTGAAAAGAGCAGATGTGGCGCAGGTATCTCTCCTGACAGTGACTGTGCTGACCACACATGCAAAGAAGTAATTTTGCTTCTATGCAATATCCTTATCTTCTCTATTGTTCCCTTCACTCCCTAGCAGTCTTGGGAAACCCACCAAATCTCTCACAGGCTTCCTGCTTCTGACATATTCAAGGAATTTCCTATGATTTTATTTTATGTTTTTAGCCATTTGCTCTTCAAATTCCTTCTAGATTCTTCTGACTAATTTCTATCTTGGTTTTTGCCTGCCAAAGTTTATATTCTTTTCTACTGTCTTCACTTGGGCTGGATTTCAACTTATTTTAGAAGATGCATAGTTGGCTTGAAAACACCAAGCTTTGTAATTTAGTCAGAGTGGATTATTTCTGCCTTCTGTTTATATTAAAAAGTCTCTGGAGAAGGAACCTTGTCATCCTTTATATTTGTAAAGTACCATTTACATTAATGTTGCTATATAAATATATGATTTTGTCTTGTACTTCATGCACTGAGGAGAGAATCATACGAGCCGTTAGTCTGATGCTCAAACTATTGCAGATAAGATGGGCCTTTAATACAAAGAAAGATGTTATTGGAATGGCACAAAATGGGCCACTGATTATTTTAGCTATGATCGTTTAGGGTGCATCTACACTACATTGTTATTTCAAGATAACTAGCGTTATTTCAAAATAACAATGCGTCTATACAGCCATTCTGTTACTTCAAAATAATTTACAGATTATAAAATAATTTTGAAATAACTGATGGCTTATTCCAAAATCTGTAAACCTCAATCTTCAAGGAATAACACTGTTCTGAAATAGCTATTTCAAAATAAGGTGTGTGTAGACGCTCCATTGCTGCTATTTTGAAATAGCCTCTCACCAGTGCGATACTAAGTTATTCCTCCTCAGTGCCTCCTGGGGCTCTAAATCGAGATAGCACTTATACATTAGGGAAATCTGCCTTGAGCTAATTTTGAGGCTTCCCTGGAGTGTAGACATGCTATTCCAACATAAGCTATTTTGGAATAACGATTCCAGAATAGCTTATTTCAAAATAAGCATGCAGGAGGAAAAGTTCATGCAACAGGTTGCCACTTTTTCCTGGAATTTCAGAGACTATCTGTTCCCTGAAACAAATATTCATTTTCAAAGTCTGAACTGCTTGAATTGTTGAATCCTACATGTCACCAGCAGGAAACAGAGGTGAGGGAATTTTCTAAGGTTTCTCTCATTATTACATTTCAGGAGCAGATAACGGTGGTATAGAAATTTAGATTTTCGTAGTTGATGCATGTAATTTGGAACCATGGAGGTGGGACAAGTTGGGTGCAGTTACTGTCTGCTCAGAGTTAAAATTCGTGAGCATATTTGGGCAAATGTTTAGTAAATTGCCCTACTGAGCCAAAGAAAGCTGAGCTATGGGCCTGCTTCATTTCTGCACTCAATTCCATGTACCTGGGATTACTGAAATACCTCACTGAACTATAGCCCATGATGCACTCACCTTCAGTCTCTTGCAATCCAGTGCATTCTCCTTGAGTTTTGATTGTCCCCACTGTTCCTGTAACTGCACTTTTCAGGCTGGTCATCTTTCCTGTTCTGTGCTTTTGCCCCATCCTGCTGAGAGACCCCAATCTTGTCTGAGATGTCTTTCTTCGAGGATGCAGGATCCCCTCTGTGTTCAAGGCATGTGGCTACCTCGTCTCCTTTCATTGTGAATTTTTTCCCCTCAGAACCACTGTGCTGGGTCACCTCTTCCACTCTCCTCAGTGATAGTCCTTTGGCTCTATCACATCTGCCACATGCTGCCTTTTCCAGCTTTCCATTGAGGCTTTCTGAAGAGTCTTCGATGTGTTCTTTTTCTGGCAGAGCTTTTTTCTCTAAGCCATTTTCTGGGGGAGGGGAGGTGCTCCCCATACTGTCAGGGCCAGCTGTGCTTGTAGTGATGCTTTGGGAAGTGCTGCTGTTCATGCAGCCGCCCTGCTGGGAGAGACTGGCAGTGCCAGGCTTCCCTATGTTCACTTCCAGAACTTCTTCTTGACTTAGCTTGGACTCTGGCTCTGAGTCACACATACTGGACACCTCCACTTCCTTGCTGAGGCACTTTCCTGCCTGCTGTTTCTCCCTCTGATTGTCCTCTGCAGGCAGAACCGTCCCACCTTTCTCCCCTTGTGATGAGAAGAAACCAGGGTCTTGAGACCTTTGCTGTTCCATGTTCTCTTCCTGAAGTTCTGTGCAATTTTCTGTCATCTCTCTGCCAGCTGGAAATTTGCTTTTCAGTGTGTCAGTGCTGGTGGATCTCTTGAATGAGCGGAGAAGAAAAAAACAAAAACCATTTAGTTCAGTTTATTGAAAAGATCAATATGCAGTTATATCGTACTTCGCCTCTGAAGCTGTACAGTTCCCAAAGCTAAGTAAGTATTATCCTGATTTTCAGAGGGGGAAACTGAGCCATAGAGAAGTTGGAGAACTTTCCCAAGGTCAAAAGTGGGGGAGCATCTATAACTGAGTCAAATGTATGTCCCAGGTCTCTTCTCTCTCAATTTTGTGCTCTAACCAATACATCCCAATTTACCTGAAACTGCAAGTTTTTTATTCAGGATTAACTGCAAAAATTGAGCAGATTTGCTTTAAACTCACCTGGTTATCATGGTCATCCTTTAGAAAGGGCATGTCCTCACCTTCCTTTGCATCCCATCTGTCAAAATCAAATCACAGGACTAAGTGTCAACTCTTCAAATGACAAAGCACCCCTTCCACCCTGAGACACCGGCAGGAAGCCCTGCAGCATCAAATGAAGGGTCAAGGGGATGAACTGCTGAGTGGCACAAAGTGCTCCTGAGCCAGGGACGAGGAGAGACAGACAGGAAATTGAACAACTTTTGCTCTGACTGGGAAGAGCAATAGCCAATCTGCCAGTGGATTCATGTTTTAAATAAAATGCCACAAAGTAGGACTTTACAGTGCTTCCTGGTTACCTTTGCTGAGTCAATTCAGGAGCAGATTCAGCCCCTTTCTAGGGGATTGAGATGTTGGATGGATCACCTCTAGAATCATAGCACAGGAGAAAACTGACACACAAGCCCGTGCTTCCAAGGAAATAGTAGGGGTGGGCCTCGCCTAACTACAGTACCCGTTGATTGCGTGTCCTGATAATCCCTGATCACACAGGGAAGTATCGCTGGTGTAATTCAATTGGGGCTTATAAAGCCTCTAGCTGCTTGGTTGCTCTTGATAATTTGAGCCAAAATATGAAAACTGAAAAGGCATTTTTGAGGATATGCAGAGTTTCAAATTTTCAAAAGTGCATGTGCACAATTATAGTGACTGTGTGGGGTTCATAACTGTGTTAGCAAATTGTGCTCAGGGACCCTGACCCTCAATTAAACTAAAAACATTTTCCAGTACTCTGGCAGCATGAAAGGGCCTTAACATGGAAATCAATCATACTAATAGTGACTTTAAGGCACTCTTAGAGAACTAGAGCAGTATAAAGTGGCCTTAATGTAAATGAGAACCAGAACTAAGTTTGAGTTTAACATGGTCATTTAATTTCCCTCTTAGGGAGAGCACAGCAGTAAAAACAATGACAAAGAAAATTTGTGCCAGTCATGCAAACCAACCTCTGGCTGGATGTAAGTATTCACTGACTCCCTTTCTCTTCTGCATTTGCAATGCATGACACCTCCTTGACACAGTATTACTGAAATGGTTATAAAGTGACTATGGTACAACCATAAAAGGTGGCTTCTTGACAGCTATTCAGTTAGGGTGCATCTACACACTCCTACACAACAGGGCTTAACTCAAAATAAGCTACGTAAATTGAGCTATGTCAATTGTGTAGCTTATTTCAAAATAGCTTATTTTGAAATTGGGAGTGTCTACATAGCACTTATGTCAAAATAGAGCACTCTTCCTCCGACTTCCCTAACTCCTTGTACAATGAAGGTTACAGGAGTCAGAGTAAGAAGTCCTCCAGCTTGACAGTATTTCAACATTATTTCAAAATAACTGCGTGCTCTGTAGACACAGACTAAGTTATTTCAAAAAAATGTCACAGCACACAGATGGCAGTGCACTTAAAAGCACTGGATCTGATACCTTAGAAGATGGTCTCGAATCAGACCCTGACAGACTTGGAGTTACAGCCACCCTTTAAATACTTGATTATACTGGATGATTCAGTATACAACACCGAGGCTACATCTAGACTGCAGAGTTTTATCAGAAAAAAATACGCAAATTGCGAACCACAATTTGGGTATCTTTTCCCGTTTTTTTTTTCAGAGGCTTTTCCAAAAATTGGCCCATCTACATGGGGCCAAATTTCAGAAAAAATCCTCTTTCCGACATCTCTTATTCCTCTCACCGAGAGGAATACAGGGATGCCAAAAGAACTTGACCGCTTTTTTGGAAACTGTTCCAAAAAAAAAAAGCACGCACATTTCCTGGACGCGGCAGAGCTTTTCTGGGATACTCTGGTATCCTGGAAAAATTCTGCAGTCTAGACATAGCCTGAGAGGCCATATGATCTTGGACTTAGTGCACAAGCCAGGGAATGCTAAGTACTGGCTTCTAATACCAGATCTCCCAATAGCTTGCTGTATGGCCTCATATAAATCCTCCAAGGCACATATTTTTATAAACAATCTCTAGTGTGGAGGCAGCAAAGTAGATAGTGGTTATCCCATTTTATATATGGAGAAACTTTAGGCAGTGAGGTTAAAGACCACATTTTCCAAGCGTGACCTCTAGTTTTTGGTGGCTATCTTTGAACATGTGGTCGATTATCAGAGGTGAAACTAGTGTTCTCAGCATCTCTGAAAATCTGGCTTTAAGATGTAAAGATGGCCACCAAAAATTGGAAGTAATTGTTTGAAAGTTTGGCCTGTAACCTCCCTGCCTTAGTTTCCAGATCTATCAAACAGGGATAACTGCTCCTTACTTAGCTGCCTCAATGGGGTATTTGTGCAGGAATTGGCCCTGTGTGTAAACACTCCATGCTATTAAAGCAGAATAGTCATTTTATTTTTTCATGGAAGCCTCCTCCCCTGCAACACACACACACACACACACACACACACACTTCACAAAGTAAGATGAGTTACAAGGTCTCTGCTCTTAGTTGCACCCTTTGTTATGCCCAAAGCATCCCACGAGACCAGATTTTGGTCCCAATAGCTGGTGGAAAATACTGAATAATAGCAGCAAAAAAGAAAAATGGAGTAGAATAGTCAAGGAAAAAATGACATTTTTCAGTTGAGTTTTGAAATAAGATGGAGATACTCAGGAGGAGCTGGCTGGTTCTGAGGAGAGGCAGTGCAAAGGAGAAGGGCCTTGCACAAAGAAAGCCATGAGTATTTGAAGAGACAGAGAACAGGCCACTATGAGGTGACCAAAGAGCAGTGCAAGCAATGAAGAAGGGATCGGAATTGGACAAGATCCATGAGGTAAGATGAAGGGCTAAAAACAAGAAGCACAATCTGAATTGCTCCTAAAATGAACAGACAGCCAGTGGAGCTCACTGAGGTTGTGGGGATGTTTTGACAAATCCTTTGATCCCAGATCTCTAGCAATCCCAGCAGAAGGGCAGGGAATTTGTATCTGCACCATACACACTCACTGCTAGGTGTTAGTGATCCCATTTTTTAGCTTAATACAAACCTCATTTTCTCTACCTTGTTGCTGATCAGCAAGATGAGGCATCCAGATTTTCTGTAGTATTAAGGAAAAATGAAGAGTTGGGGGGAAGACATGCAATGGGCGATAAGGATGAGAAAAAGGAAAAATAAAAATACTGATGTATCTGTAGGGATAGTATCATTTAGAATCCAAATGACTTAAATATTCCTGAATGAGATCCCAATGTACCTATGGGAGACCTAAGCTCCTCTCTGAGATGAACTAGAATGCCATCAAGCCCTTACCGCCTGAGTCAGAGAAATGTTATTTCCTCTCAAATCTGTGGTGAGAAAAGAAACAAGCTGTTAGAGGCTAGGAAGCTCTTTGGGACAGGTACTGCCACTTGTGTTCTGTGTCTGGACAGCACCTACTGCTGTGGTGTCCTGGCCCAGGACTAGGGCTCCTGCTCCTAGCTTTTACCATACTACAAAAAAGAAAGAATAATGACAGGCCAAATCTACTCATTAAAGTACATGCTTTGAGCCCATCAACAGAGGGTTCTAAAAACTGTGCTGCATAAACTGAGGTCAGGAGACCCAAAGAGGAGAATGGGGCAGACAAAGAAAGATGGGTTTATAGGGAATACCGTCACCATAGCCAAGATCATTTTGCTTTAAAACTTTTCCAGAGTTTGTTTTTACTTTGCCACCGATTGAGCAGAGTCTGTGTGAATGCGCAAACTGGTTCAAGCTTAACTGGATGTTAAGAAGCGGGCAATTGACTAATTGTGTAGTCCAGGGGTTCTTAAACTTTGTGATACTGCTACCCCCCTCTAAGGGGTCGGGACCCTCAGTTTGAGAAACGCAGGTGTAGTTGATACAATTTGTAGCGACTACATAAACAGTCGATAAGGGGAAGTGGGGTACCCCCATTGCGGTTCTGCAGTTTAAATGTAGTAGGAGCCTGGCACGGCTCTGCCTTTTAAACATAGTAAGAGCTGCCCGGCTCTTTAAAAGGCAGAGGCACAGCTATCTGGGACCCAGCGTGAGCCAGGGCTGAAAAGCCCTGGCTCACGCTGGGTCCCAGGCCTACCCCTGCTGCACCTCTGCCTCCCCTGTCACCTCCCACACCACAGAGATGGCACTGGGGGAAACCAGCTTACAAGTCAGCTCCCCCCAGCACCGACCCCTGCTTCCCCTTTCCTCCGCTGCCTCTGATACAACTCAACTAGTCACTTACATCCCTAGTTCAAGCTCAATGCTCAGAAATAACAAACTTCTGTTTCAATGCTCAAAAAGACACGGGTTGCTATGAAAGAAAGGCCCAGAAGCATGGAAGCAGCTCACCAGTGACCATACTGGGCATAGCAGGAATATTTATTTTCTTAAGACCAAAGCAGTGGTAGTGCACTTCTTAAAAGCACGGCCAGACCATCAAAGGATATGCCCAAGGTTCAAAATTGCTCAGCTTGTTTGGATATCTGCTCTCAAGTGGGGTCCTGTAAGTGCAAATTAACATATTTTTACAAGTCTTTATATTGAGTCTGTCACCTGGTACAACTTTATATAGTTAAGAATGGTACCAGGCATCATGTCATCAAACAGTTTTTGCAGCGGACATGCTCTCTGACCCACCTTTCTTGGGAAATCAGAAGAGAGAAAACCCAATTCTGGTGGGAGGAGATTCACAGGCCTGGTATTAGTGGGAAGCCAGACTAGAGATGTCCTGCAGCTCATTCTAAATCTGGCCGATTTCAGGCTCAGACATATACGCATTGTGATAAGATTCCAAAGATAAGGCCCAGATACTGGGAATACCCTTGTTTCCATTATCTTAATCCTTATGTTGTTACAGATAGTCACAGCATTCCTTCCGAACACAGTCATGAGTGTATGGCAAAGAGCAGATCCTGTCACTAAAATAAACGGTGCAGGAACCAGTTAAAGCTTTATGCTTTGACGTAGGTGAGTTTTGATTCATGAAAGCTTATGTCCAAATAAATCTGTTAAGTCTTTAAGGTGCTACAAGAATTCTCATAGTTTTTGCAGATACAGACTAACACAGTAGTCTGAGACTTAAAGCTTTATGATTACTAACTAGCACCCTGAATTTCAAACTCAAGCATCAGGGCTAACGCCAGTCTCCTCCAACTCTCTGGGATCAAGAGGAAAACTAGGGAGTGGGCAGCAGATTATCCCACCCGTGCCTACTGTAGTTGATATATTCTAGCCAGCACAGAGCATAGTGTAACACGCTGGGGTCAGTCTGCCCTACCTCAAAGAGAACCAAACAAACTCCTCTTCTTAATTCCAGTAAGCAGCTCAAGAACTTGGACTGTTTTTAGTGCATAACACTTTAATGATGATTACACACAAAACTAATTCTACAAAGCCTAATTTTATAGCTAAAATATCTGTAGGCCAAGAATACATCAACTACTTATCTCACTGCCTAGGAACCAGCCAGAGTTAGGCTGTATTAAAGATTCAACATTTGCATGGGGATGAAGCCTAATGTTGTTAGGCTTTGCTAATGTCATCATTCTTCCCAAACCAGCTCTTTGTATCT